GATCCTATCATAGTTTCACTACCAGTAATAATACAAAGATCATGAGTCAGGCTGTCAAACTGCTCCTACTTCCCTCTACAGAGTAACTCCTCCAGAACTGAAGGTATTTTCTCTCCAGAGGCATCCGGCAGCCGAAGTGGTGCCAGGTTGTGCTGTTGGTCTCCAAAGGCTGATCCCCACTGAAGACCCTGGCATCTGTCTCTGTGTGATGTCCTTGGTGTGTGATGGATGCAGCAGAAAACAGTGCTTGGTTGGGATCCCCAAGAAAATACAGAAGAGAAATTAATGTCAAGGAATTGTCAGTAAAATACATGAGTATCTGCTTCAGCATGGCAGAGTGCAGGCAGAAAAGTAGGTGAGTTCAGGCTCCTCATAGACATATTTCTATCATCTAAATATCTGAGTGAAATGAGTACTAAGGTGTAGGAAAATCAGCATTTTGTTAATTTTCCAGAGAAAGAGTGGAAAAGAGATATGGGTGACTTTTGGGGTGGGGAAAAATCATTCAATTTCACTCAGTCTGAAATTGATAGCAGTGGGTTTCATTCCTTTCAGCAACAGCATATCTCAGCCCACAAATAAAAACAAGAAAACCAAAACTAATCCACATTTTTGAAAGAATCTGTACAAACACATCAACAGTATGAATGAAAATGTATTGAAAGTGGCTTCAAAAGCAGCTCAAAGTAAGCCATGAGAAAATTTCAAAGGAAGAAAGCCAGATAATGACAGAACTGAAGAGAAAAAAACCAAGCCAACTCAATAACATTGAAAATGGTACAGAGGGATAGACCTCTACTTAATCTTGGTACACCTCAGTCAAGGAAGCTGTTACACACAGTCTGTGAGAAGTTAGAACTTAGGCCAGTGTATCTGGACTATGCAAAGACTCCAATGAAAGTCAGGCATCACTTAGAAAATGCAATTATCCTGTGTGGCTACTGAAATGAGCATTAGCTGAGAGGCTGGAGCACAGGGAAGTTGGCAGGGCTAAGGAGAAGGGGTTGTGGCAAAGCAGACAAGGCCACCTGTGCCAAAAGAGGAATGGCTGTGTCCCTCAGGGTGCAGTGCTGGCTTTGATTGACTCCTCGTGCCATCAGAGCTTCAAAGGTTACCACACCACTGCTGGGACAAGCTGTAGGAAGGGAATGGAAAATGTCAAAAATCATCATGGTATTTTTCCTTAGGTGGTAGCAGGGACCTCAAGCCATGGCACCACATCCAAGATCTTAAACATCAAAACGCTGAGAAACTGAGACAGTGCAAGGTAATGAGAACTTCCCAGAGACTGATGGGCACCCTCAGTGCCACCAGGCAATGACATTTGAATTTAGTGGATGCTCCCAGGACTGGAGCCAGTGTCCTTGTGAATGCAGGGTGGAGACAGCGGCTGGATTGGATCCACCCTGCAAGTGAACATCTTTCTCAGGCAACTACTGCTGATGGCACAGGGAAAGCAAGGTCGTGCTTGTAAGATGCAGAAGTGATGACATTTCTGGGGTTTAATTAACTGCCAGGACAACTTGGGGGTGGTACAATATGAGCACACAACATAAAAACAAATCCATACTCGTGGATTTGTGCTCATTAGTAGAAGCTAAGTCCTGATCCTATCAGCTAGATATTTTCTTTAGACCTGTCTTTTAACACCTCAAAGTATAAAGCAAATTTTCTTAACAACACAGACAGTCATGGACCTCATCTAAAACCTGACATCACTGTTGATATAAACAGATTAAAAAAGAGCAATGCAGATGCAACAGGTATTAGTCCAGTTGTGTAATGTGCAGGCAATCAAGAGGGCCAGAAGGATATATCCTGATTGCATAAGTAAACCTAACACCTTTTGTTGCAGTCAGTCATTTTAAACCCAGTACCCTGCTAGGATCTCTCGGGCCTGGAAAGCAGGGAGGAGGTCCAGAGAAGCTCAGGAGCATTGGCCCTTACATTAGCATGCTTACGTGGTTCCCTTCTCTCTCCCTTCACACTCCCTGTCACAAGAAGGCGATCTTCACCCCTGGGAATAATAACAGGTTTGACTCACCTGGGCCTGGCACATGTACACCATGAGGTTACCTGTGCAGGGGCCTTTAGTGCTCATGTTGGGAGCTTCAAATCTGTTGCTTGATTGCTGAGCCTTGCTTCCCAGGCTGTTTGAAACCCTCCTTTAAACATATGCTATATTGTTTCAGGTGTCCAAAGTTTTATTTTACTTCTCTAGTAAATATCTTCCAGCTCCTAAATGAGAACTGTGGGAAAACTGCTCCCCCAATGCAATTTAAAAATCACCCTGCAGAGACCTTATGTTCCTCAGCTTAAATCCAGCCTTCAGTGTGTCTTGAGTTATGAGGCTGTCCAGACCACTAATAGAGGAGCAGGGGAATTTACACAGAAAGGAATAAACAAGCAAACAATATAAATAACCATTTATCTCTTCTTCCTCCCCAGTGTCTTACTCAAAAGGTCACTGTGTTCTTTCATGGAAGCAAAGCTCTATAATGTGAGTTTAGGCACTTTAGGCTAAACCCCAGAGTACTCATTTTCCCCAAGAAACTTTGGTGCATTTTTAGTTAGATTTTTTTCCCTTAGATAAGGTCTAAGAAATAACCAGGTTCTCCAGAACAGAGCTGGTAGTCAGGCCAGTGGGGCACATGCTGAGGGGCTCTCCAGTAGACTTGGGGTGACTTATGGCACAGTGCCAGCCTTGCTTCCTGCCTCTTCTTCAGATGAGGTTTGCTTGCAATAGCCTCTGCTCAGTGGACTAAAAATGGAGGCTACAGGAGGGTACATATAGCTCCCTGCAATCTTACACAAGGGCTGAACAGACAGGCAGGTTTCCCCTGCACAGAAAGCAGCTGGCAGTGCCCAGTTTAGGAAAGCAAACCTCTGCCCAAATCATCATGGCAGCTTGTTTTGCCAAGCAGAAATTCTAACACCATCTAAAAATATGTAAAACTGTTTAGGAAGAGCAAGACATGCACTGCTCCCCAAAAATTTTCTCTTGCAGAGCTTCCTGTAGATATCCAACTGCCTTGTAAAGATGCCATTGCATGGGACAGCTACTGCCTTTGCTCTCATTTCAGTGAGATCTGGCCCCAAGTCTCTCCCTAAGATTATTCTGCAAACAGGACAAAGTGTTTTATAGGGTTCAGTTTGGCTCAGAAGTTGTTTGGGATTGCCTGGAATTTTGGAAAATGCAGATCCTGCAGCTCAGGGTCCCTGGCTGCAGTGACATTGTGCAGGCGTCCTGCTGCCTTCCCAGGTTCTGCTGCTAAAAAAAATAATACCCCATGCTTCTCCTGCACTTCCAAATCCTACAGCATGTTTTGTCAATGTCCACCATTGTTTAAAGCCCCTCTGGACTCCTGCTGGGGACATCATTTCTCTCCAAGTTTCATACGCAGCAGGGGTTTCTTCCTGGTTTTAAAGGGGGCTCCCATGGATCATGAAAAACCTGTGATGTCGCTAACACAAGCCTTATCCAGTTGTCCTGTAACACACACAAGAGTTCACATCTGAAAATCCAACTGGCAGTCTGAGAAACCCATGGGCATTTTGAAATGCTCTGAATCCAAGAGAGGAGACTTGGCAGGTCACCCCAGGAGATCACTGTGAGCAGAGCAGTTCCAGTATGAGCAGTGACAATATGTTTGTTGGAAAACAATGTCTTTCTGAGAGCTTGCTGAATATCTGCTCATTCTTAGTCCTCAGAGGCCATATTTGATCTGTGGTAGCTTGGGCCAGGGACATGCAGGCATTTCCCCAAGAGGTCAGGCTGAGCTGACTTGGATCTGGGCACCCTGGAGCAAGTCAGAGCAGACCAAGCAACCTCTGCAGGGCATGTGTGTGTCACCATGGCACAGGAGAACACTTTATGTTCATCAGCTGTGCCTGTACCACAGCTAACATCTCCTCTTTTTCCTTTTTAAACACAGAAGAAGGGAAAAGAGATACCATTGTTTAACACCCTAACAGAATCTTTTATATAAATGTTTACAAAACAAGCAGGTGCAAGTTATCAGCAAGATGGATACAAAGAAAGGGCCTTCAAGCCCAATGGAGGAAACCATTAACCATAATGAATACACACACAATAGGTACACCACCTATCCATCTCAAATTGATAAGAGAACCAAAAAATTAATTGTAAAATGGGTAAATAAAACCTGGAGATTCACTGAATTAGAATACAGAGTATGCATTAAAATCACTCAATGTATTTTCAGTAACTACAAAATATTATCTTATTTTTTGCCTGCAAAAAACCTTAATAACAACATCTCTTTGCCACTCTCAAATACATTGATCTGAAGGATTGGGGTAGATCATAGGGCAAGAGTTTGAGGATTTTACTCCTCCTTTTGCCACTGATCAATTGTGTTAACAACCAAGGCAAGTCAGAATTCTGCTACATTTCACAGTTTCCCTTTTGTAAGTGGGATAATATTTCTCACTAGTTTTTGCAGAGCAGTCAGAGATCTTAGGAGAAAGCAGATCATTAAATGCCCTATGTTATTATTTTAGGCCCTGATTCAGGAAAACATATATCTTTAAATCCTGCTGCTTTAATGGGTTGCAAGCACCTATTTTAGGCTAAGCCTAAAATAGATGTGGTCTTTCTGAAAAAGCTGCCCTAAAACTTTTAATTATCCCTATTATAAATATAGCCCATTGAAGCTTATTTAAAAATATAATTTCTAAAATACAGGGGGAAAGTAGTGAATTAATGCAGCTCAGAGTATTGAGGCATTACCTTGCGTGCTTTATTCAGATGAAAGACTCATGCAGGAGTACCCATGCCTTTTTAATTAGATGCATGCAGCAGCCTTTAGGTCCCCTTCAAAGATCCTTGGGCGTATGGAGCTAGGAGCAGCTCTGCATTGACATCGAGGGGGAAAAAAAAATCAAACTCTTTTTCTCAGAGCCTGACTTCTTCCCCCAGCCCCCACTCCCCCCCAACCCCCCCTTTCATATTTTTATATATTTCGAGAGGAGTCAGGCTTAGTTTGTTCATAAACTGCAGTTCCTGGGCGGACCCCACGCACAGCTGGGCTTTGGGGCTGGATCCGCCTCCCCGGCAAGCCCGAGCCGGGAACCTCGCAAAGAGGGGCTCCGGGCTTGACAGCAGGAGCGCAGAGACCGGCTCCAGCGAGGGAGGATGAGCTGCTCAGCGCCGTGAAGCTGGGCTCCTGCTTGCCGGTGCGATCCAGAAATGGGCTACTGGAGGAGACCGGGTCTGCTTCCCTTACTGCTGCTCTCCTTGTGTGAGTAGAAAAATGTTTCTGGTCAGGCAATGTTAAGCAACGTACTCAGAGAGGTCGTTTATTTTTCCTTCCTCCAGCAAAACAGCTTATCTTTGATTTCTCCCCTGACAGCAATTTGCCAGAGGATTGGAAATAGCAGAGACTTCAGCTGAATACTCTGCTACGACTGCATGAGCTGCGTATTTCTCTTATGGCGAGGGGCAAGCAAGTGCTTGGTGGAAAGCGCTTCGTGCTCGCTTGGAGCAGCTCGCAGATGTCAGTGTTTACAGTGCAAAAATATATATAGGTCAGCATTACTTGTTGGAAGTTTTTATTTTATTGAGGGAGATTAAACGCAACTGAAGTGCACCGCTGAATGATCCGGCTTCGACAGTGTCCAGATGTGGTGAAGTTTGCAGCTTAGAACTTTTATCAGCCCTGGTTTATGCGCAGAATTAATCGAACTATTAAAGAAGGAAAGAAGTGAGGAGGGGGGAGGAGAAGTGTCTTTGCAACAACATCTGGTTATTCGGCAAACCTTTCCAGCACTTACGTAAAGATTTCTTTGTAATAAGTGCCCTGTTTCAGTTTTGATAGCACTTCTTCAATACTGTAGATAAAACCCTCCAGCAGCACTTGAAAATGTGCCCATCCGTGGTTTAACTTTTTCTTGTTTATATCTTGATGATTGTTTCATAACAGGGAATGGATTTGTATATAAGTGAGTGTTATATACACATCTCCTAAGTATGTGTGTGTGTCTTTCTGTATATACAGAGTCTGTGTATGTGTATACAGGCATATATCCCTACAAAGCATGTATTTATATATTTGCATGGACACTATTTTTAAAAGCGAACTCTTCCAAACACAGACCTGTTGCCCTTGCTATAGAAATTTCAGTGCAACTAAAATTACTTTTTGCTCAAAGTGACGAAGGAGGAGGATTATAATTCCAGTATTTTTGCATCCCAATGAAGTCACTGGGGGCAGGGATCTGTATCTGCATTAACTTTACATGGGTCCCCCTATCTACAAGACCAGGGAATAAAAGAATGATCGGTCAGTAATTTGTGTGTAGGCAAACAAAACCACGGGTGCAACTGTTGAAGTAGAGAGAACCAGATGGGGAGATTTAGAACACAGTATCTGGTGGATTTTTCAAAGTTATGGAGATCTATAGTACTCATTTTTGTAGCTATTACCCTAAAGTGTGGTTTGAAATGTAGGATGCTATACTGATAACATCCTGCTAACTTAATCACATTTGGAGCAGGAATTACTACAGGTTATTATTTAAACACAATCTTGGGTTGATTTTGGTAAGAAAGAAGACCACTAACTATCCTTTAGAAATACCTAATTTTGGAGTTATTTAACTTATGGTTTCCTTTTTCTGAAAGGCAAGGTTTTAATCTGAAAGAAGCCAAACCAAAACGTATCATGATTACTAAGTTCATCTGAAAGGTTATGTGAGTGATATGATGACAAAATTTGCCTCTGCACAGGGTAAAAAAAATAAGCCATGGCTTGCTCTCTGTGATTCAGCTCACCAGTGATGTTTTCTGGGACTACATCCACTTCCTCTGCATTTAGTGTTAAGATTGACCCTACAGTTATTCTGAGAAAGTAAAAATACCCGAGGAGGCCACTTCACATTGACATTAAAAGAGAAGGCAAGATCTAGTTCCCCAAATTCCCCAAACTGACAGAATATGCACATTCCGCTGTTCTTCAGTCAACAAATCATACCACTCATCCAGACTCTCTTTAAAGAGTGACAGCACCAGCTTGGTGGCAACAGCAAAGTTGCTTCTCTAAGCACAGAGATTTAAGACTCTCCACAGAGAACATGGCCTAGACTGTGCCTCTGTTATCCCAGAATAACTCCAGCTGAGCATTTGTAGGGACCTTGCTGCTGTCCCTAAGACTTTACCCCAGGGAGCAGAGACCCCAACCTGTGTTCCATGCTGCCTGTCTATGCCTTTAATCCACAACTTCACTGAATGGCCATCCCACGGCACATCTGACCATTTCAGTTCATATGCAGTGGAAAAAAGGGCTCTGATCTGATAAAACACTGAAATTCAGCTAGTGGATTTCCTTAATTGTCCATGGACAGCCCTACCAAGGCTTCAAAATACCCACTCTTAAACTCCTCGATGGCAGTGCCTGCTGGAGGGCAGCATTTTTACATGGCTTTTTCATCAGAAGGTGAAGACAGGAGCTGCAGTTTCACCACTGCTAACACAAACCCTCACACAGATGAGCAGAGAATCCTTCCAGGACATAGAGCGGGTGCAGTCCTAGACTTACCTGGACTAGGACAAAAAAAAAAAATGAGGATCATTCAGAATTGGAAAACTGTCATACTGTGGGGTTGGAGCTGGAGGCTTTCAGTGTCTTTAGGCTGGCCAGAAGAGAGCTGGGAGGTGAGCTGGTCATCTATGGCCAGGTCCTGGGAAAACCTTTTCTGGCAGAGGGCTTCCTCTTCTATGGAACAGAGATAAAACAAGATGTGCATACTGGAAGCTAAAATGAGGCACAACACAGTAAAGTTGTTCCAGCAGGTTTGGGATGTGGTGGATATTTGTTGCTCAAAGCCTCCAAGATTGCAAGACTACCTGCTTGGAAGTCTGTAACCTATACAGAAACTACAGATTTGATGTCAGGATTACTGTATTGTGCACATGGAAATGCTCTGGCCTTAAAAGTAGGAATTAGGTTTCCTGCCCTGTTTTCTATGAATATTGGGAACTTATCCCTTGTGCTCCATCTGTCAGGAACAGGGCTCACATCCAAACAGGCATGGGGCTGAGCTCAGTCTCATCTCACAGAGGGGACAGCAAAGCATCACAACCCTCTAGCCTGTGGAGACTACCTCAAGAACATGAGCTAAGTGTCACTGGTGTGACAACAGCTCTCAGGGTTGTGAAGAGCCCCAGGAGCCTGGCAGAGCCTTTGTGCATCCAGCCTCCAAAAGAGGATATGAAACTCCAAATCTGCCAAGGCACATAGCACTTACCAAGGGAGAGCAAGCCATACTCTTTGGGCTCTGGTGAGGTTCCAAAGAAAGAGAAAGAAGATTTTTGAAGTGAGGTGAGGTTGCAGGTCTGCTACCCCAAGTCCAGAGCTCCCAGTTCCTGGGGTTTGAGTTTGCGTTACCATGATTTGCTTCCCCATTTTTAACAGGTCTCCTGTTAAAAATGCTGGTCTTCTAAATTATCCTAGCATTTTTTTTGCCAAGTCTCCTGGGCTCCTTTTGCCATGGTTGATAGCTCTACAAAGAGTGCATTTGAGGGGTTATCTCTTGATGGATGGTGACTTTCTGAAGTCACATGTTCTTTCCTGCTTGCAAAAACTGTTCCCCCAGTGAGCCTCTTCAGCTAAATATATAGAGCATATAGAATTCATAAATCAGGACAGGGAGCTCCATGGCTGTCAGAAAAGCATCTCTGGCTTTTGATCTGCCCAAGAAATCCCTGACCTATCCCAGGCTCCTCAGGCAGCTTGTTCAAGAAGTTGGCCTCTTATTTCTGAGGTCACCAGAGCTAAAAACAGAGGTTGTAGTGCCACCAAAATGCCAGCCTACTCCTCTGGCAGGGGCTCTACTGGGATTGCACCCCAACATCAATGCATGCAAAATTTAGGAAAACTGGGTCAAACTGTGAGAGGATGAGGGAAGGAAAAAGACAAAGGAAGAGTCACCCTGCATTTCACAGGCATTTGCAGAAAGAAGCTGTGCAGGTCCAAGGATGAGCCAGAGCAGCAGAGCAAACCTCTCCTCCCAGGCTAAGCAGCATGTGGAGGTGGGCACTGCCCATCCCAGGACACAGAGCTGCAGGACTGGTCATGACAATCTGTGTCATATTGATTTAATACAGCCAAAATAAATGAAGAAATTACCAACCTCAAAAGCTCCAAGGGGCTACCAGAGGCCCACATTGGCTCGGTGTAGGTAGCTGGGTTGGGAGCAGGCACAGGATCCCACTGCCTGAAGGAGAAACTTGTGCATCCTACCATAAAGGTAAATAAGCAAAGCTGCAGCAAATTCTCCAGCTAGGAAATAAAAATGGAAGACACAAGCAGAACCCTGACAATGCAGAACTGGAGTGCTCTGCAATGTTGCAAGTGCCATGAGACTCAGATAGGAAAATGATGGCTTATTTTCAATTCACCTTTACACACCTCCAAATCTGATGCTACATTTTCAGTCCTTGGTGTGAATTAGATTAACTGAAGGTTAAGAAGAGTGGCAATGTACAGCTATGTGAGACTAATGAAAACTGCTATTTCCTCTCCCCTTGCACCTCCAACTTTGCTCAGACTTGAGACAGGCTAGTCATCGGTATAACCGGCCATCAGTAAAGCTTCACTCTGTATTTTTGAGGAAAGAAATACTTCCTGAAATATTTGGTACAAACTGAAATTAAACCACACAATTTTTTAACAATAAAACCCCAACAACCAACACAGAAGTGATGTTTACTGGTATTTTACTGGTGTTATCACTATTTAAGTCCAGCCAGCTGCAATCATGATACTTGTTACTCCCATTAGAGACAGAGTTCTGCACAGATGTATCCCACATATTCACTGAATATGCAGAAAGCAAACACTGGCATTAAAAACAGGTGACTGGGGCCTTTTATTCTGAGAAAGAATTCCACTCTACTGCCTGTACTCCGCAGCTTTATATTGCTCTGTGATTTGCTCTGTCGAGTTTATTTCCTCAGGACATTGTTTTCCTCTCCCCTTAGTGATAACTCTTTGCAATAACATTTGCTTTCAGCCAGGCTCCACAGTGTTGCAACTTGCCATAAACTAATGAACTCTCCCATAGACTGTCATGTTTTCAAGGAAGTGCAACATCTGATATTTTTATTAAAAATAACAGTCCCACCAAGGAGACAAAATCAGCAGCTCCCACACACTCTGCTCTTTTCACATCCTGAGTTCAGTGCTGTGTGCCAAGTGAAAGCCTCGATCTAGAAGGAGCCTCCTTGCAGAAGGGAGATAACACCACTGATGGCTGCCTGCCCTATCAAACCTACATTATGTCCATGCTGGACCCCAACTGTGGGATAATATTTCCTTAGGGATCTTCAGGGGGAAGTGAAGGAGTGGCTGAAAGCTGTCTTGGCCCTGCTTGCATGCGTGTCCCTGAATTCAGAGTCAACTCTTATGATCCTGCCTCTGGAAATGATCTGTAGACACATCAGAGTCATATTTTTTCTTCTTCAGTTGGTTCATCTTTTTGTTACATCCCATGTAGGGTTGAAACACTGCTGCCAGCTTCTGGTAACCGTCAAAATTTTTGGAGAAGTGGGAGAGCCTTCTTATCGTGCAATCCCCTCTGCAGCCCATGCTCCTACCAATTATGAGGCTCCAAGACTTCAACTTTCATGGAGGTGTTGCACTGCAGTGTTTTCCTTCCCATTGATAAGCCAGGAACAAATGACAGCTGATTTATACTACAGAAAATTCATTGTGGCATGTGGGTCATTAATCTGTCCAGCTGTGACCACAGCCTGATAGGCTGTGCTGGACACAAGGCTATGGCCCATGTGGACTCTAGCAGCCCAAGGACATGCCTAAACCCAAGTGCTACCCTGGACTGCACAGGGTTATTTGGATTCAAGATTTATTTTTTTTTATGGACATTATCACTATTTGAGCTGAGTGATTTAAAGCAATCAGCCTGAGCATGCTGTAGCTGGGGGGCTGGTGTGCAGTTCCAGCTATAGTGGGGAGCTGAGGTTGGGTTCCAGCAGTGGCAGCTGCAGAGTGCCACTTTGCAGGGTCCTGTGCTCCAGTTCTACCTGTGCCTCTCTCAAAGTGACCACAACTCTCAAAGTAGTTGAAGCAGCATCACACTGGACACATTCCGCCTGCAGGAAGACCTCCCACCTTCCCACACTGTGGATGGAGATGTTCTCTTTAGCTCCATTTCAGTTACTGGACCCAAAACTCCGGTCTTTGTGGATAAGTAGATGTTCAAAGAAAGCTGTCCCCAGCAGCTTCCACCTTGGCTCCAGACTCAGTGCAGGTGAGGCATGAAGGTTTCTGGAGGAAATTCCAGACTGCCTTCACTCAGACTGCAAAGAGCTGTTGTCCCGCCCAATGGCAAGTGCTCTGGCCATGCCTCAAAGCTGGAGAGTCCAGATTTCCAGGACCATCACACACCCCCTAATGCATGCCCTGCACACAAAACAGCACAAATGTGCTTGTGCCAGCCATGGGAGCAAGCACAGCCATGGCAGCCAGCAAACAGGGCTGGTTTATTGCCGTGCTTTGGAGTCCAGGCAGGGCAGAGCCCTGAAGCAATCACCTGAGCTGACACCCGCTGATGTCTGGTATTGCCCCACTATCCTAATCTCATCTCTTCAGTTCCTGCAACATCCCTGTGAAGATGTTCCCTTTAGCAACAATATGCTTAATCTTTGCCTCTGGAAGGTCCAGAGACACCTGCTGGAGTTCCTGGCCACAAAGAGGGGCCTTTTCTTTCGATCAACAATGGAAGACCCTGGGATTTTGATACTGATCGATTCTTCCTTCAGCCATTCCAAACCAGAATGTTTAGCTGCATCCTGCATTGCAAGAGTTCACTGTGCACCCCATCAAAAGATGATGTTGCCAATGTGGATTCATACCGTGACCAGCAGGTGTGAAAATCCAGAGAAAAATTTCTTCACATTTCCTGCAAAATCAGGATGATTTATCCTCCTGAGCTATCGGGGGGAAAACTCAGGCCCCTTCCTGGAAATGGTTCTTGGGGGTGCCATGACTACAAGAGCTTCTGGTGCATTTACAATGAACACTGGTACAGATATTTCTTTTAAGAGATCCTTTGCTGCTTCCAGGTGGATTGTTAAATAAACTGCTGTCTATGCAGAATGAATGCCTGTGTCCCCCTCGAGTGTTTGACTGAGCAGGTTGCCAGTCAATGCAGCTGGAGCATGATGAGGAACATCTGTTTGATGTTGCTTGATAACACTTCCTGCCTTGGAGACTCTAAACACCAGCATCCAGCATGGAAGAAACTGAATCAGCTGCTGTATTGCGTAAAGCATTTTTTCAATGCTAGATCTATCCCAAAATTAGCCTCAACCAGTCCATGATAGCAAAGAAGACCCCCCTTCTTACAGTGGGAAGTGACACACAGACCCATAAGCTCAAGCAGTTGAATGAATCATCCTTCTTCAAATAGACCCAGGGTAAAAGCATCCACAGAAATAAGATCAATGGATCCCCTGGGATCTCAGTTCCTGACATGCCTTTAATATGTCTAAAGGCCCTCAGTGGAAGAAAATGTAGACATTCCCACCAGGGGCAGAAGCAATTAGCCTGGGGGTGAGGTCTCAGCAAACATTTGCTGCGGTTTTGTATATGTGTCCTGTGCTCACCTGTTTGTAGAACAGCATCATCACATCTGAGCCTTCCTTCACTCTTGCCAGGGCTATCAGCTCTGCAACAGGCTGTGGCTCGGGAGGCAGCTCTTGGGCAGAGGCACTGTTCAGCATATTCAGATTGTGGCATGTCTCAGGAGATGTCCAGAGGCAGGCTACTGAATTGAAAAGATAAGGCACTACTGCAAAATTATGAGATCGTGGAGCAGATGGGGAATAGAGAACATTCCCTGCTTTGTCGTTTCTTCCATGCTGCAAGAGCAGCTTTTCCCCCTGAACCTCATCTCCTCCATCTGCTGAGTCTCCCTGGAGCTGTGCTGCAGCTCTGCCCAGGGGCTGGGACTTGTGGGAACCTTCTCCTTCTTCTGCAAGAGGGATCTCTTGAGAGGCACTGCAAAGACACGCAAGCTCCTCTTATTTCTATGTGTGAAGAAAAAGCACTTCAGGCTTTGTCAACAGGACTCTCGGTTCTAATTCCTGAAAAAAATTCCTTTCCAACCCTGGTCCCTGTGCCCTCCTGCCACAGCTCTCTTCTGCTTTAAAAAATGGAAAATATTCTATTTGAATTCAACCCTACTGGACGGTATGTTTTAGTAAGTTATAACACAATCTCCTGAAAAGATGCTTTTCAACAGGTGAAGAAGGGCGTGAAAGAGAAGAAGATGCCATCTAGTTATGTGCTAAACAGTTTTAGCATCTGTAACCCAAGCTAGCCTCAAGTTCCCTCAGAGAGAACAAATTACTTAGTTACTGTTAGATCTGGCCTAAACGAGAGCAAAATTTGACTCTACATAATAATTTTAGCAGACATAAAGAACTGGCAGTGTTGGAACAAGTTGGTGACAGCACATGGATGGAGAGTTCACAGAACACCTCTGTCTTGGCAGCTTGTGACACAGTCCCTTGAAAACCCTTTTTCTCCTTGGGAATCAAAGTAATACAAATGCAAAAAATACAAACTGGTCAATCATAAGAAGTCCAACCAGAGATGAAGAGCAGCAGCTCCAGTCCAATGTCTCTTTGTGGGCTCATCAAAGGCCTTCTAGCAGATGGGATAGCAAATGTGTGCCAGGAATTTCAAACACTCCTCAGGAGGTTCATCTAAATCATCAGTAACCCATTTGCACTTAAAACAGAGCAAACCCTGGTGCCCAAATGTGACCCAGATAATGTTTCTGACGTGTTTACCTATTTGGATGGTATCTTTCAATTTCAATTCCATCTATTCACGGAAATCCAGGATTCATGCAGAGCCTGAAAAATACATAGAAAATTGAATTCCAGAGCATAATATGATGATAATAGTAAAAAAACACTGACTGCTGCACAGTAATTTTACTTGAATGGTAGGTTAACAGTAGGTTAGGCAGAGCAATGTCTGCTACTGACTTGCAGCTTACATGTTTTTGCTATTTGGTTGATTGCTGCTGCTTTTTCTGTGTAAAAGAGGGAACTTATGACTGCTGCATCTGAGAATGAGCTGCAGAAGCTGCAGTTAATTGGGATATAGGATAGACTGGTGATGCCTCTGCAGAAACAAGAGCAACAAAAATGATGGCAACAGCAGAGTGGATTTGGTTGACTGTTGCATTCTGCCATGCAGCTCTCAGTCCTAAAAGTGCTCTAAAATCCTCAGCAATTTCTGCAGAAATTGCAACAGGATGAACTCAAACCACCCATGTGTGGCCATGCAGTGACTCCTGCTCCCCAGCAGTGTGGGAGGTGGGAGAATGGACTTATTTTTAAGACTAAGACTTTAGTCAAAACCAAATCACTGCAAAGTGCTCTTCAAAGGGCTGAAATCTCGAGCACTCTGAAAACATGGCATGCAATCCCCAATCATTAGAAGGCAACTTCCACTGGGCATGTGCCAGCTCAGCCGTCTGCAAGCCCCACTGGCAGCCCACTCACCCCAGGCCGTGATGTGCTGATAGTGCATTGCCTCACCCTGCAAGGCACAGATAAGCAGAGGTGCTGGCAGAACTGCTGAAATTACTTATGAACTGCTGAAACTCAGCATTTCCCCACCTCCTCAGACCCTGAATAAGTTGCTTTGCTTTCCATCTGACAAAGAAGAATGGCACATTCCCCTCACATGCTGTCTGGGCTGGTGGGAGGTGCTGTGGCAGTGGGGCCATGCTGTGATGCTGGTGATGGTTCACCACACTGTATCCATGGTTTTCTCTTGGGCTGACCCCTGGCTGTGGGGTTTTTTCCTTCCCAGGCACTTCAGGCTGTGCTGCTGGCTTGGCTTGCTCTCTCTAGGGTTTTCCAATACAACAGGGTGGAAAGGACAGCAGAATATAGTAACAAGAAAGAAATGGAGACATAGGTGCAATGAAAGGAACTTGTTGTCAAACAAGGTTTCACCTTCAGACACAGGATGGCTGCAAAACTTGGTTTGTGTCATAGTTCCCCTCATCTGACATTCATAGCCCAATGGCTGACAAATGCCTAAAGGGATGAGTACAGGTATTACCAGGCAAACTCACACCTGCTTTTGTCTGCCAGGGAAGCTTTGCCTGGCCTGGTCATGGCTGTGGAGGTACTGACCATAATTACACAATATGCAGCAGGTAGGGAGTAAAAAAACCCCACTCTCAAGCTGCAGTCCTGGGCAATGTGAGGAATTCCTGTACTAACCTTCTGTTCTAATCCTCAACGCTCCTGTGAGCTGTCTTTTCAAGGAAGGATGCAAAGCATCCCTGCTCATCTCACAAAGGCATGAACTAGCTCCAGCAGAGGGGACAACCCCTAACTTTTGAGTTTTCTCCTTGTTTTAGGACAGCTTTCCTCATCCAGCAAGTCAGGACAGGGATAGGTGCAGTGGTGACACCCACATGGAGCTGTGAGCTTGCCCACCAGCACTGCCCTCAGGGCTGTCCCATCCTGCCCCTTCACCACCCTCATCTGTCCCTGGATCACAGCTGGTGCCACCTTTATGTTCAAATTCCAGCCCAGCAATTGGCAAATGATGTTACATGGTCCATGAGCCCAACCAGGTCTAATACAGCATCTCAGCTTAATTGGACTTAGTTTCTTGCCAAGGTGAAGCAGGTGCTTGGCTGCCTCAGGGACTGACTGAAAAAAAATGCAAATAATATGCAACCAGGTAAGCCCCAACCACCAACTTTACTGATATTTCAGTGAAGTGTGTCAGTGAAGACACAGAAATACACACATCATTTTCAGACATTGCTGAAAGTTTCAAAGACACTGAGAAAAACAAATGAAATAGTGCAAAGCCACTACTGTTTTATCCCTTCCACGTTCACCCATCCTCAGCTCAACATCTCTGGATGCAAACTGGTGTTAATGGGAAAAATATTGTCCATGACACCAGAAAGCAAGTGGTCCTGAAAGAGCTTGAGTTCAGAGTCTAATGGGGATATAGTTTTTGCCTCACCTGATATTTGCAGTCCTTCCAAAGCTCAGCAAGGGCAGAACATCTTCCTGCCATGTTGGGCTGGGTCCTGCTGGGCTTCAGGACCTCAGGACTGCAGGGTTGGCTTGCCTGATTTTTCAAACTTTAATGCCAAACTTCCTTTGGGGAGCAACTTTCACATTTTGAGTTCCTCAGCTGAAAGACAAAAATTAGGCAAGTGTTACACATTTCAAGGCACAGCAGAAATCAACAAATTTGCTTAAAAATATTTAAGTAAAATAAACTTCATCTTAATAATTTTTCCTCATAACACACCATCATATTCTATGTGCAATTTTTCCATAACTCTTTTCTAATGGGTTGCAGGAGAGCTTGGATGCAAATTAACCATGAGGAGATGGGAAAGATCCTCCAGGAATTGCACTGCATGTGGAAATGAATTTCAATTTAGCCACTTCAGAGCAATTTTTTTGTTTACTTTCCACTGACATGAAATCAGCCACGATTGCATCGCATGCGGGATTGGTTAGCCAGTTACATAATGCTTAATAAATCCAAGAGAAATAATATAAAACACATCACCCAGTCTGGGAAGAGGAACAGTAACTCAGTCAGTGTCACCAACCTGCCCGGGCCAGGCATCAGTGAAGCATCTGATCCAATGCTGGGGGGATGCAGGGTTGTGCTGGCGCATGATAAATTTGATTAGGAAAAATGCTTGTGGAGTGTGTGGAGGCCTTGAAGACAGACAGATTGTGTGTGATGGTGAGGGTCTATCAGGAGAGCTGCCACCCCCGTGGGGAGGGCAGCTCACCCCGTCCTGCGGGGCAAGCGCTGCTCGCACGCCCGGCTCCAGCTGGATCTGCTGCTGTGTAAGGTATTACCTCACCCAGTCACGTTCCTCCCAGTACTTCGTAAAATCATAACGGCCCTGTAAACAAAAAGAGCAAGATTAGGTGATTAATTATTTATCACAGATGATTTCTGCAGTGGCGTGTGGAGGGGAGAAAACATTTCACTGGCGGTCCCCGGGAAGTGGGAAGGAAGGGAGGTGACCCAGGACTGCCAGGTTAAACACAAAACGGTAGTGATGATTTAATCCCAAAAAATCTGGGGGGTGTAGGAAGACTGAAGATACCTCTGGCCTTGCAGTGCCAGCACTCTGGCTCTCCCAGGAAAGCTGTCCAGCTCTTGAGTGTATTGTTCCAGGCACACACTACTGCTCTGCCTGGAGCAGATCTTGGCCTCCTTTCCCACATTTCTCTGCCTGCTCTGCTTCCCCGCTTTGCTTCTAGTCCCAGAGGAGACCTGCTGATGCCTTCACCCAGTCTGTGGCTAACTTCCAACCGAGGAAAAGCTAGGGATGAAGGGGTTAATTACTACAGGCGCAGCACAAGCCAAGTCTGTAAGTGACTCCCTATTGCTATTTCAAAAAGAGGCTGCCTGGAAAGGGAAAGGAAAAAAAAAAAGAGAGGTTTACTTTACAACCATCATTATTTCATCTGGAGAGTTTATACAATGGAAAATAAAAGCCAGGGTACGCGAAGTCAAATAATTTCTGTTTCATTAATGGTATGGAAATCGTTTTGTTTTTATAGAGTTAAAACAAATGTGAACTTGATGTGTGTGTGTGTGTGTGTGTGTGTGTGTGTGTGAGAGAGCATGCAACTCCCTTCTTTGCAAAGGGCATAGCAGTGAAATCCAGAAATAAAAAATGACTCAGAGGCTGTAGGACCTATGAGTCAGTTGAGCTGTTGTTGTTTTTAAACACAAGCGAGACCACAATACGGCAAATAATTGCCCCTGCAGCCCCCTGCAGCTCCCCCGCTGGCCCAGGCTGCCCCCTGCCAGCCCCCAGCGCTGGACACCGACCGACCTGGCATCCCCACCCCCAGGGACACAAACGGCTGGAGCAGGGCTTGTCCCAGCAGGGGCAGCTTTGGGGGACAGAAAGTGGAATCTGAGAAAGAAACTTGAGATCCGGTCAGAGTGGATGGAGGAGACAAGTGGCCCCGAGGAGTGCAGGGCCATGCACACTCCCCTGTCCTCACCCAGACATCAACTGACCAAAATCAAAGAGAAACTGCTCTGGTTAAACTTTCCCTGCCAAAGGCCAGGCATCTCCTCACTAGCCCCTGGCATTCCAGCTTGTCTGGATGCTGCTGGCTTTGTTGGGGCACAACCCTGGGTACCTCAGTACAAAACATCCCCACGCCCCAAAAGCAGAGCCACTGTGCTGATACACAGAAATCTTGTGAAAGGCACACGAGAAATACCGGAGATTACCAAAGCAGGAGGATGGACACAATCTGCAGAGCTTGTCCCTCCCCTGGGTGAAGTTAGATCATGATGTAATTTAAGCATCTGAACGAGACTGGAGAAGCCTGCTGTTATGATCCATACCCAATTTACTTTGTAATAGGACTAAGCAGTATTTGCTAAACACTGAATTTAAAGGGATATTTTCACAAAGGAAAAATAAATGGTAGAATAAGTCAGTTACCAGCCTGTTTGAAGAAGGTCCAAGCAAACCAGAAAGGCATAGTGCATGTCCCCCTGGCACTGGAAGAACTGGTGTCTGACACAATCAAAATCAATCCTTTTTTATGCACCAGGAAACATTTCTGGCTCGTTCCTTGCTCCATGCTGTACTCTGCCAAATGCAGTATTTATTATGCAGGACGATGTGGGACCACATACCTGAGGGTGGAGCCTGGGTTGGTCCCCTGATCCGAATGCAGCACTGATGGATTTCCTGGGAGAGCCAGTGGCTTGTGCCTTGCAGAGGCAAAAACTGGGATATTAAGATTTTCCAGCTCCATTTGGCTGCTCGACCGCTCCTACAAAGATAATGATAGAGTGTAAAACACATGGATGGAAAAGAGCAGCCTGACATAAAAAACCTCTTTGGTTCAGCAGCTGAAAGCAGCACCAGACCCCACCACTGGAGAACAGGAGTCAGCTGGAGGAAACCGAGCTGCATCCAAAATAGAAGTACAACACTTTGAGGTCTGGTTCTGGGGAGATTCTGCAGCAGAGCAGGATGCTGCAACAAGATCAGGCAAGACAGCAAGAAATCCACAAGAAATCTGGGATCACTGTTACACAGGTCATGCTGAACAACTTCCATGGGAGCTTCTGACCCTGCACAGAATCTCCTGGAAATCAGGGCATCGGAATTACCCGGATGCCCATCTGTGGCACTGGTTGTTGCATCATGGAAGAGGCAGCTCAGGAGTAACCTGGTGATGGGGAACACCTGGTGCTCTCACATGGGTCAGTGAGAGAGCAGAGCCCATCAATCCATGCTGTTGGATTAATCTTAAAAACAAAGTATTGCATATAAAAGGAAGGAATTTGTTTGTTCTCATAATAATTTTATGAGGATCTGTTATTGCACACTTGTCTCATTAACCATGGATAAAAGCCTGAAGCAAAACCTAATCCTAAACTTGGCGGCAGACACAGGACTCACCACGAAGCCCAGGCTCACCCAGGTGGGAAAGCAAGTCCCAGTGCAGATTGTGTTTCCATCAGGGCACCTATCTGGGGCTTTCCAGGAAGAACAGGGCTTCAGGGTTGAGTTAGAGCTGCTCCCCAGTCCTGTGTTTAAGTGCATGCTCATTAGAGAAAGCAAAGAGCATCTCAGCTAATCTCCCTAGCCTTAGTCTCTCCCAGTGCAAAGCCTGGGGATTACAGGTGGACTGACTTGCATGGAAAAGATGATGCAGGGGCTCCCAGAGCCACCGCAGTAACAGCAAGCTGGGCAGCCCTCTGTGACTGCTGAAATAGTGTCAGCCCCATCCTGGGATGCTTGGAGATATGCAGAAAAGAGGGGATAGACCTCACTGTAGAACATTTGCAATCCAAAAATTTACAAATTTTCTTTGTCCTTGAGAAATACAAGCAATATAAGGACAGTTATCACTGCAAGAAAAATCATAATCTGAAGGTCCTATAATGGAGGCCCTGTGTAACAAAAGCCTTGGTCCCCTTCCACCTTGGGAAGGGAAGAGCAGGGAGCAGGGATAAGTGCCATAGCACCTCACTCCAAACATCTTCCCTTAAGCATGTTTAGCTGTCCAAAAGCACCATGCCAGGGAGAACACTTGAGAACTGAAAGTGTTCATTCTGCCCCTCAGTGAAAATGCATTTCCTGCCCTTGCTTGGGCTACGAGGCACTTTCTCCTTGCCTGTAACAAATGTGCTGTGCCTGCACCTCCAAGCACCCGCCGCTTGCTCCTTGGTGGTTCTTCCTCCTTGGGGACCACAGTGTGGGGAAAACTAGAGCCACAGTGAGGTGCTGGGTGACCCACCTGCTCTCTGGTGCTGCAGTGGTGGATAGTGGCTCACAAAATCCCCCTCCATGTTCTTACAGGTGCAGTCCCTGCTGGCAGAAAGCTCATCTGCTGTGGTTGGCTGCTTCTGTGACCGCACCGATGGGACTGGGGTGGAATTCTCTCAGAGAGCTGTTTCAATTATTCCTGTATGGGGAAGAGGGTGGGTTATTGACTACAGCAGTGGTGTTTCCATGGGCTTTGCAGGTGGCCAGGCAGAGGCTGTGGAAGCTCTGTGGGCAATGAGAGGCTGGCTGGCCTGACATGCAGGAAAAAATATCCCAGTGTCCTTGGGTGGTGGTATCACCCCTACTGCTATTGCAGGAGAGACACAGGCACTTCTGGCATCGTTTTTCCATTATTCTCTGACTTGAAAATCATCTCATATTCTCTCAGTAACCTCTCTGGAGTCCCAGTTATAGATACCAGAAGATTTGATCCTGCTTTTGTGCACAGGAGAACAAGCCTTCCTATTGATGGGAAGCCAAGCTTGCTGTGAGCCCACCTATCGGTGACTTCAAACCATCTTTCCAACTGTCATTCCACAATAACTTTGACTAACTGTACTATTTATTGGCTCACATCACATCCTTATGGCTTCAATTTATTTTTGGAAAACTCAACCCACATTTAATTAGTTTATAGTTTGTTCCAAGTTTTGCTTATCCAGCTTTTTTTTTTTTCCTAACTTGTTTTTTTTTGAAGTTTGTATTTTGATGTTTAGCATTTGCCTTGGCAACATCTGGAACCCGTTTATGGAAGTGTATTGTTACTTTTACTGCTTGTGCAGCTTTATTAAATCATCCAACTATTAATATTGAAAGTGTTCATCTGGGTCTAATCAGGGCCAAGATGAGTGATGTGGCAGTTAAATTGTACCTACGAGCTAATGGCTCAAGGACACAGTCCTGAAGAACCTTGCTTTGTGATCTTTTAGCTTCCTAGGACAAGAAGGAGGTGGGGGGGGAGAAAAAAGAGATATCCCTGCTCTTTCTTGCAGAGCAGATAACAGAATCACAGCCTGAGTTAGTTTAGAACAATTTGTCTCCAAGGAATTTTGTCCAGTTACTGCTGTATTTCTGGCTCTTGTTTCCATATTTAACTCCTTCGTCTGTCCTGGCTTCCCCTCTGCACAGCACGGCCATGCCAAGACCCCCAGCACACGCACCAGTGCATTGCAGGCGGGTCTGACGTTCGGCTCTGAGATCTCAAGCAAACCCTTAGATATAAATAAGTAAATAACACATCTGCTGGGTATAAATAACTAAATAACAAACCTCATTCTGCACCAGCAACATCCACAACCTGGATTTGTCATTTTGTTACTCCTCTGCAGAGCCTCCAGGTGTGCCTGGGGTGATGGTGCTGAGCCAGTCCCGCACCAGCGTGCTGCCAGCACAGCACGAGCCGTGCCGAGGATGGGCTCAGCTGAAGGGGTGGAAGGGGAACTGTGGCACTGACACCACCGGAGCACAGGCCTGGGTGTGGTAGGGCTTGGGTTTGGGGTGAGAAACCAGTTTACCTTCAGCTCTCTGTTCCCTTGAAATTACCCAAATGGAGTGCGTAGGGCGCGGTGGCTGTTGCTGTAGGTTGAAGGCTGCACATAAATGCTGGGCTTGATTTCTGTTCCACACTCAAAATTCTCATCCTCCAGTGGAGTTTTGCCTCAGATTTTGCAAGCCCTGCTCTTGCAGAACAAGGCAGGGAGGTGGGGGTAGCTCATGCTGGCTGCAGGTGCTTCAAATCCCACTGAAGCCATGGTTTTGGTAGCTAACCCTCGAATGGATGTGGGTAACTGGATCTCTTGAGGTCACCCACAAAATCCCAGGGTGACCCAGCAGGGCCAGAGCAGCCTCATGGATGGGGAAGATGCTGAGCAAGAGGTTGTGGGCAACATCTTCACCTACCCTGCTCCCTGCTCCCCGAAACCTGGCACAACACAATCCCTGCTGAGCTGCATTTTAAGCCTGGCATGGGTCATTTAAGCCAAAATTTCCTCCTGCCAGCCTTCAGATGCAACAGGCTTTTCCTCTGCACCCAGGTTCTCCCCTCAGCATTAACCTTAGCCCTACGTACAAGGCCATAGAAGCTTGTAAATGGTTTATTTCTGTGTGGGAGCCTTCCAGCAGTTCTTTACGACTGTTGCAGGGAGGGGGGTCTGGGCTGGTGAGGGAAGCAGAGCAGGCATGTGGGATGCTGTCAGAGCAGGCTGCATGCCCTGGATTTGGGGAGCAGGGAAGTTGAATACCCCTTCTGCTGCTGAGACAGTGAAAAGCATCCATGGGCTCAGCTGTGAACACAGGCAGGTCACAGATGTTACCACCAAGAACACAGGAGTTCCTGCATGTCACTGACAGACCTGGGGTTGCCCATGGCTGTGCTGCATCAGAAGGACCCTGCTTGCAGGGGCTGATACTCCCCAAGCCATAGTCAGGAATTTTGCAATTTTTTTCTTCAGACTTACAGCTGGTGATGGAAAACTCTGTGAGGGCTGTGGCAGCACAGTGAGCTATGACTGCCCTTTCCATAGGGGTTGGGAGTACCAGCACTGATGGCAGCCAGAGAATCATGAAGCCCAAAGCTTCAAAAAATTACCTGCTGTAGTTCAGGTTTATACCTGAACACTTTGGAGTGCATATATTTAAGTTTAAAAAGAAAGCATAAATAAATATTTCTACATAAGCCACTCAGTGGCATTTTTTTTAAAGACATTTAGCAGCCTTAAGACAGGAAGTTTAAATTTAGCTGGGATTTATCCCTTAACCAAGCATAGTTCATGCACCCTTTCTATAAAAATAGAGATAATGCTATGCCTGTGAGATGCAGGCAGAGCAGCTCCCCACAGGCAGCAGTTATTCCTGCTGCTGCGGCAGATCTGAGGCTCAAGGGGCAGGAGAACATCTCATGCTGGGATGGAGCACAGTGGGCAGTGGAGCCCTGAAAGGAGCAGCCCCTGTTGCCCCAGAGCTGGGGAAGTCTTAGCCACAGATTCTTGGGGAGTAGGTAGCAAACAGGCTTCCCAGCGTGGCCTCATTGAATAGGAAGGGGAGGGCGAGGAGGCAGCAGGAGGGGTGGGAGCTGTCCCAGTCTGGCTGTACATCCCTCCCCAGCACCTCTCTTCCAGCTGAGAGGGGAATAAATGAAGTTTTGAGGCACAGAGCGACCCGGAGATGTCCCTTTTCGAACACCCAATGTACTCGGGATGAGGGGAAGTGCCAATTTGAGCCTGGGTGGTAGAGGAAGAAGTAAATTTCCCCTTGATGATAAATGGTGCGGGAAAAGCAGAGGGAAAATGTGATTCTCTGCGGTTTCCCAGGCTTTTGTCCGGCGGGACCTGCCCGCAGCATTCTCCCATCTCCTCGATGCTGTGGGATAACACAAAGCACAAATGACTGGGTAATGGAGAGCCAGACAAAGGCTTTTAAAAAATTGCATGGAGAAATGGTGCCAGTGGAGGCTCTTTCTCCCCTGGTTCTGTGAATCTCTGGGAATGGTGGTTGTTTTTCCTTGCTGAGGACGAGCACGGCCGCGCTCACCTGCAGCCCTCTCTGCTCCTCAGCCTGGGGTGCCAGCGCCCGGCGCAGCCTCAAGACCAACCTGTGCAAGTGGTGCGACTCCACCGCTCCGGCCTGCAAGGAGAAGCTGTGCTACAGCAACTGCAACCTCAACTCCTACTGCGAGGACCCCTACGAGATCTGCGTGGCAATATGGTAAGAGGAAATTCCCTCTCCAAGGGGAGACAGGGAGGAAGGGGTTCATGTGCACACCCCTGTGCTTGTGTTTTTGCCTATTGCAGTAATTCAGGACTTTCTCTTCCTCTTTCCTTGACTCCATTATAATTAAAATTACAATGCACAGAAAAAAAAAAAAATTTGGTCTGCTCCATAATTAGTACCAGTTTATTTTCTGAATAGATTCAGCTTTTGAGTTGAAAGCGTGGCAAGTTTGCTGCAGAACCTATAAACTCCCACAAACCTCTGAATTAAGCTTTACAAGCTGAACTCAAGGGTTAACCAGCAACCTTGACCTCCAAACCTGTGATGTCCTCTTGCATTAGGCAGGTGAAACCTCAGTTTCAGGGGTGCAGCCAAGGTCAGTCCCCATCCAGCACATGGACATCTCAGCTGGCACCACACTGGGGTTAACCCACTGGGTTTAATCCACCTCTTTGCCATCCCCTGGAAAAAGTCCTTTTCTGCTCCTGCAAGGGGTGCCTGGACAGGAAACACAATATTGCATTTCAGGCCAAGCACACACTGCATGGTTTGGCCCGGAAGAGAGCCTCCCCCAGCTTTTTGGCCCCCATGAGCAAAACTAAAAAAGCATCCATTTTGGGTCTGCCCAGAGTGATTTTCCTCCACTTTCCCTTTTAATTTGGCTGCCAAAGTGAAAGCCAGCCAAGCACTTATCGCTAGGCTTTATCTCAACCTGCTAATTAGCATGAATGCTCTATGCCAGCTTTCAGTAGGAGTTTGCCACAACCTAATTGTTGCATTATGCACTTTTAAAAAGCAAACTCAACAAGAAACCCAAACAAACAAACAAGAAAATCCACCCCCTGCTCCAAATTCCCCTATGCGCACATGGAGAAGCCACCTTAAATTCTGGGTAGGCAATCTAGTGTATCGCTGGGTTTTTCCCATCTACAGCTTACACGTATAGGAAAAAGCAAGGCCCCTGCAGCAGGAATTTCCATGCCAGGGAAGCAATCCCACTGCACTGGATGGAGCTGCACCTGGCATCATGTATCGGATGGGATGAGGCAGTCACACAGTCACAAATTCCCTGCCAGCCCCTCCTAGCACCTCCCTTCCCAATCTAAGATTCATCCAGAGAATTAGATCCCTGCAGGCAGGGCTCATCTCCAGGCCAGCCTTGCTGCTTGCTGCTCACTTGCAGAGGCATTTGTGGATCATCCAAACTTGTCCTGAATGGGTATCTCAGCCCAGCAGCAGCTTTGGCCTCACCCTCATGTCCTCCAGGGGCCCAGCCTTAGCAGAAGTGATCTCACCCTCCTAGGACTCTTCATCTGGGAGCTCCTCTGTCAAATTACCTGGCAACCACCAAAAAATGTGGAGCGTGCTGAAACTGGAGGACTTCACCAGGGAGAAGAGGATGAATTTAGGTTGTTTCCTTGGCTTTTATGTCTGACTTCCCAGCTGACCTCAAAGACATTGTGAAATCTCTCCATACCTTCATCCCCCCGCTTTGCGCCACCAGGTCAAAAGGCAGAGGCTGTTCCTGGAGAAGTAATGAATGGTTGCCATTTATTTTAATGCACCCAGGAGTAGCTGCAATGCTGTAGGCTGTGCAGGGCCAGTCATCCCCATCACTGGTCCTATAAGTATGTGTAGGTAGAATTATACCACAGCCATTGCAAATAGCCATTCCCTACACAGCTTGAAAGAAATGATCTTAGAACCGGGTTTAAGGTGACGCACAGGTGACACAAGGGCCAAGCTGCCAGGCTAAAACTGTGTCGGTTCATTTGCCACATGCAGGAGACAGGACAACGAGAGCATCAGGATCAGCACGCTCTGCCACAACCCCCACCACCCCATCGAAAACCTCATGGTCCCCAACTACAACACCTCCCGCTGCATCATGAGCCACCAGCCCAGCGAGGATGGCATCATCTACATCTGTGGCTGTGTGGATGAGCAGGAGTGCAACGACAAACTCATCTTTGAAAACCACACCAATGGTGAGCGCTTTTGTTGAAGTTATTTATGGGGGTGCAGTACCAGCACCAATGCCAAATCCCTTGTATTTCCTGAGGAGTAGGAGATGCAATGGCAGAAGAGGCTCTTTTTCCATCTTCTTTGACCTCCCCATATCAAAGCCAGTTAAAATCTCTACCCTGTCACTGAGCCCAGCATTTTGTCTGTGGCCAAAGCACTCCTCACAGCAATACCTCCAGCCTTTTTCTGGAAACATCAGGTGATGGAAAATACACCATATCTTTCAATGGGCCGTGCTTTCAGCACAAGTTGAATCAACTGGGAAACCCAGTGGCTGGTGTAACGTAGCATGAGTCAAAAGCTCTGAAAGCTTTAAATAAATTGAGTTGGAGCAAATCCTGTCCCAGAACACACCCACAGGAACTGTTGGCATCCCCCACAGCTGTAACCCGAAGAGGTGGAGATGCTGGGGTGCAGGGCTGGGCACACAGGAATGCCTCCCCTGCTGCTCTCCTGGGAATTCCTGCAGCAGTGTTTCTCCCGGGAAGGGACAGCTGGAGACACCTGGGCACTGAGCACACACGTGAGCGTGGCATGGCACGCTGCTGCACATGGCTGGAGATCCAACAGGAGCTGTAAATCCACAGGAGGGAAAACTAAGAGGCAGCTCACTTCTGTACATCAGGAGGGTCGTATATTTTGGAAATATTTCCAACCAGAGCCTTTGGGGGCTTGTCTAAACCTCCCTAACTCCAAGTGGACCAGGTTTATCCAAGTGTCCATCAAGAATCTGACCTGTAACAAAAGCAAAATGAAACACCTCAAATTTTCCATAATCACAGAACAAGGAGATGCTGAAAATGAGCCTAAACAGAACCTGCAAGCCAGTGGCATAGCTTCTCCTGCAACATAAGGAAAAAGGAAAAACATCACATGAAATGCAAATTCTCTGAACAAACAAGCCACTTTAATGGAAGCAAATGTTGTTAAATTTGGTGGTTCTTTGCTGCTTCCCCAGCCAAACATAACAGGTACACATACTTCTAGGGAGAGATAGTCAAATCCCAAAGCTGCTGCCGGGATATGCAATTTCACACAAAAATGACAACTGGCTCATTGGAAATGCCACCCCCAGCAAAGGCTCCATATCCAGCCTCCTCCTGTCAGCCAGCGTGGAAAGTACTGGAAATCAGAGTAAGACCAGTGCAGGTCTTTAACAACTCCCTCCTCTTAGACAGGGGCCAGCCTAGGCAAATCCCAGGCCCACAGACCCCATTCTTTACATCCTTCTCTTCCACTTCAAGGGATCATTTGCATTCTAAATTTTAAATTATTGTCACATCCAATGGTCTAGACAACTCCTGAGCAGAGAAATGAGCACTTCTCCAGCAGCTGAAGAAGGCAGATTTTTTTTCCTGTTTCTTGATTCCTTAAGCTTTGCTTTCAGGTCTGGGCTGCTGGGTGGCATTGCCCTCACACTAGGGTTGTAGGGGACTCCATCAGATATCAGAGACCATGCTAATGAGCACACAGTGCCATCATTTCCTCAAGCTGTGCACACAGAAGTCCAGGTGAGACTTTGGAAAGATGCTGCGTAGGCTGGAGCATGGCAAGTCCTTTCCACCTGTGCTCCAGCTGAGCCCAGCCCTGGAGATCCACATCCCCTCAGCAGGGATGGAGAGACCCATGCAGCAATGCTCAACAAGGTGTGGGTTTACAGACCTGTGTTTATTGCCAGATCAACAACATTTGCTTTCCATAGAAGGGGTCTAAGCCCTGCTGCAGCCCCTGTGTATCAAAAGACTTCCATCAGGAAGGGGCATCCTCACATAGGAATTTCCTGAAGTTGTGTTAACTTCCCCTTTTTGGAACTTGTGCATGCAACTCCCTTAAAAATATCTTCTCTTTCTTCAGAGTTTCAAAGATGGGATCCAAAGCATCGGGTAAATCCATTAAAGCAGTAGGTGATATCCAAGCCCAATACTTTCCAAAATAAACATATTCCTGAGTTAGTTATTGATTTATATCAGTTTAGATTGATCTTGTGGTTTAAATCTGATGCCTATTTTAGAAACGCTTTCACAGCTTTGCAGAAATTAGCTGCAGCACATTTTTTTGAAATTTGCCAAGGAAAATAGCTAAATGCTCTGTTTTTCCAGAACCTGAATTATGATCTGCACACACTGAGGTCAAGCAGCAAGAGTTTTGCTTATGGAATGATTCTTATCCTTCTTCCCCTGGGTTATTATACTTGGCAGAAAAACCTCTGAGTAAGATTTTACTTGAATATCTCTACTGAAGTCAGCATGTTTATTCCAGGAATCACTAACATCAAAGGATCAGACAATTATATGTTGTGTGAGGGTTATGGCTTTGTGTGCGTGTCCTCCCCCTGACAATCTGAAGGCCAACAGGGGGTTTAAAAGAAATAAAACAAATGCAGCCATGCCCTGGCAATTGTTGGGGATGCTGTTGGAATGGGCTGAGGAAGGAGATGCCAGCACTGCCAGACAAGTGCTGAAATGATGCTCCTGTGTGCTAATTATCCTGCAAAGCATCCAGGCACTCCCCTGCGCTGGGTGGTCCTGCATACTGCCCACCCCCAGCATCCTTCTTGACTCTCTGTGTACCACAGGGGTCCAGCAAAGCTCCAGCCCCAAGCCCCCTCAGAGATTTGCTGTGTTTGAGCCTTGCCTTGGATTTATCGTTGTTATTTCCAGCCAAGCTCCCCTTGCCACGAGCACAAGCAGCACTTGGGACTCCCAAAATGGCCTTTGCAGTTTCTTGTGCCACACCGTCTTATCCAAGTGATGCTGGCCTGTGTATTCTGCTGATAAATGAAGATAAATTTGAGACCAAACCCGATCAGCCCCCTTGCTAAGTGCCGACATCTGGGCTCTGTGTGGGGATGAGCCCTTGTGCGGCCCCGCGAAGGGCTGCGCTCCATTAACAGCTTTGCAAATTTTCCTCCTCTGCGTGATGAAAATGAGCTGTGGCACATCCGCAGCAGCACCTCGCCTTTTCTTTCCTCCCCTCAGGCTACTCCATGCTGCAGAGCAAAGAGGTGATCCCAGTGGCTGCCATCAGCCTGCTGCCCCCGCTGCTGGTGGCGGTGATGATCACGGTGATATTTTACCTCTGCCGCACGCAGAAGCGACACAAGAGAGCCAAGGCGTGGGGTGGGAAACAGGGACAGCCCCCAGTGCTGCCGGAGCAGGGGAAGGCAGCTGAGCGGGAGGAGAAGTTGACCGTGCTGATGGATGAGAGCCCGGCCAGCAGCAGCCACCCCGCTGAGCTGCTCCCCATCGAGCTGGACGAGATGGTGGGCAAGGGGCAGTTCGCGGAGGTCTGGAGAGCCAAGCTGAGCCACAGCCGCTCCGGGCAGTACGAGACCGTGGCCGTGAAGATCTTCCCCTGCGAGGAATACTCCTCCTGGAAGAACGAGAGCCAGATCTTCACCGACACCAGCCTCAGGCACGACAGCGTCCTGCAGTTCCTCACTGCTGAGGACCGGGGCACAGGGCCCCGCCGGGAGTACTGGCTCATCACCGCCTACCACAGCCGAGGCAACCTCAAGGACTACCTCTCCCACCACGTGCTGAGCTGGATGGACCTGCAGAAGATGGCTGGGTCCCTGGTGAGTGGGGTGGCCCACCTTCACAGCGACTACACCGCATGCGGCCGCCCGAAAATCCCCATCGCCCACCGCGACATCAAGAGCACAAACGTCCTGGTGAAGGACGAGCAGGAGTGCGTGCTCTGCGACTTCGGCATCGCCATACGCCTTGACCCCTCCCTGACAGTGGATGACTTTGCCAACAGTGGGCAGGCAAGTATGACCCATCAAGCCTCTCTTTGCCAGCCACCTGGCAAAGAGTCCTGTGGCCAAAGTCCTCACCCACCCCTGCTAATGCTTCTCTCCTCTCTGTGGCCAGGTGGGCACTGCCAGGTACATGGCCCCAGAGGTCCTGGAGTCCAGAGTGAACCTGGAAGACCTGGAGTCTTTTAAGCAGATGGATGTCTACTCCATGGCCCTTGTTTTGTGGGAAATGGCCTCCAGATGTGAAGTGGTAGGAGGTAGGAGCCCCACACCCAGGTCGCTGTATGCCTTTTTTCTCCCTTACTCCCACATCCCAACTGATAGCCTAAGATGTGACTTGGGGTGGTCCAGGTCTCTGCAGGGCTGCCAAGAGTTGGTGAGAGATTCCCCTGCTCTGTGTGCCATGGCTTAAGTGGGCGGCTCAGTAGTCAAGGAGCAGGACAGGATCCCATGGGGACATCTGGTCCAGCCCCTGCTCAAAGCTGACGAGCTGCCAAGTCCCATGGAGCCTGTGCTGATGATGCAAAGCAAACCAAGCAGGAACAGCCAAAGGTGCCTCCCCCTCCTCAACTACTTTTTCCTTCAGACAACACCAGAGAGCTTATGTTACAACGGGGACTCACAAACCCCAGCCTCTGACCCTGTCACCTCCCAGAGCCACATCCTGGCATCTACAATTGTGTGTAGCAAAACATTTCATTAACTGCCCTGCCCCTGCCTGCTCCCATTTACCTTCCTTCCCTATCCCACCCACTCAAATACAAGCCCATAGAACTGCAGGAACCCTCAACCCTTGGCCAGAAGGCTGCTCCAACTGCCCTGCAAGCCCCATGGTCAGCAGGGGGAGGCCCTTGCCTGGTCTGGATGCCCCATGCATCCTTTGTTCCCAAGCCAGCATTCCCAGGCCATCTCTCCCCATTCGTATCTCACCTGCATTCACATCTGGATGGGAGCCAGCAGAAACCAGGGTGGCCTCTCACCTCTGCCCACAGCCAGTTTCTCCTTGGTCTTCCAACATGGGGTTGCTCCTCCATAAGGGCCATTTCTCCTGTAACCCATTCCCTGCCTGTAGCAGAAATCTGGAAATTCTTGTGTCATAGTCACCTCTCCCATCCTTCACCAGCACCGTACTTTCTGCACGCTCAAATTTTCTCACCCAAAGACAAACCAGGTCCTTTGTACTGCATCTTTTGGGTTTGGGGAGGAGCTCAGATGGTTCCTGCGTGCTGTCTCTGAAAAGAACCTCTACATGAAAACCCAACACTACATTTCTTTGTTCAAATTCTAAATTGTTTCCAGATCTGCTTATTTTTTTGCAGACTGTTAAAAACAAATCCATTTTCATCTGGTGGGCCATACAAAAACAAAGCAGTTGAACGCATTAGAACCATCCTGTAATGCTGTTGTTGCTCCCTTGCAGAGGTAAAGAATTATGAGCTACCTTTTGGGTCAAAAGTCCAGGAGCAGCCTTGTGTGGACACCATGAGGGACATCGTGCTGCATGGCAGAGGCCGGCCCGAGATCCCAAGCAGCTGGCTGGTGCACCAGGTAAGCTGGGAGCAACTGGTTCATTCAGAAAAGAGCAACTCATATTGTACTGCCTCATAAATCAGCTTGAAAAATTAAATTTATAGTCAAAGGAAAAGTGGGCAGAACTCCTGGGATCTACTTTCAGCTCCATTGTGGATGGCTGGGCCCACACAAGTCCCACTGGACTCATTTCCTTGCTGCACAAAAGCCACCAGCCATAGGCACAGCAGAATGTGTTGATCAATAGCCACGATCAGGAAGCTGTGAATGGCAGGCGATGAGTTTCAGTTACCCTGAGGATAACAGCAAAAGGGAGTACTTCAGTGCGGCTCTTCCCATGAATCATTGGATTTTGCCCCACTTCTCCCCCTAGCACCTTGTCTGGAAGGCTCAGGAAACACCAAGTCCCTCACACACAGCCATTCACAGAAGGGACAGAGGCGGAGGTGCATCTTGCCTTCTGCCTGCATTTTTCAAGCTCAATACTACCTTCAACGTAAGAGAAATTTCATTACTACAAGGAAGAGCAAACAAGGAAGCATCTCTTTCACATTAAACCCTCAGGAAAAGCAAGTGAAGCTGAGAGCAGGGACTCTGCAAGGCTCAGGGCTTGTCAAGGGAAGTCTTTCACCAGCCTTCAGAAGGTCTGAAAGCAAATGTGTCAGCACAGAGGGCATAACCCAGTGTTCTAGAACAGGAACTTTTCAGCAGTGACAAAATGTGCTGTGTTAAAACCACCCACAAGCACACCCAGAGCAACCAGCTACAGAAACAGAGCTCCCTCCTGGCCCTGACAGGGTCCTCTGCCCCCGGCCAGTGCTTTCTGCCACACACTAAGGACACGAGGGGTAACAGGCATTGCTGATCACGACTTCCACATCTTGCCTGACTTTAGGACTTCTTGGATTTCACATGTCTTGTAGAAAAACACCATCTGCTGATCAACACTCCCATTCACCTGAAAATCAAGTTGGAATATTGAGCCTGCTGGCTTTCAGAGCCTTGCAGTGCGCAGTGCATTTTGCAATATCCACCTGTAAAACACACTGCCTCTGCTCCTACTCTGCCCTGCTGGCACACAGAGGCAGGTTTTGCAAAAGGAAAGAGAATTTCTCAACCTTAGTAGGCCACATGTTCCCTACAATGTGTCCTCTCAAAACCATGTTTATCCAAAGACTCACAGCTGACCTGACTGACCAAAACTGCAAACAGGATCAAATGAATCCGTGGCTTCCGTGGGACCCCTGGAGCGTTTATCAATTGGTGAGTCCATTTCTGGGGCTCACCCAGCCTTTTTCATTGACAAAAGTAATACAGGAACTTCAATCAGCAGTGCCACATGTTTGAAGCCTTTGAGTATTCAGCTCAGACATTCACCTCACAGGGTCTCTGATAAACTTTGAAACCAGAGAAAAAATATATAGAGGCTTGGGTTGTCAAAAATCACACTTTGATAGAGTGTGAGCATAACTGCTGTTCTCAGGGCTGAAGGGAGGCTGACTGCAGTCACCTCCCAGAAATAATTTTGCTGTAGTTGGGTTGGTATAGCAGGCAAACAGAGCAAGGCTTGTAAGATGGGAACTTTTACTGGACCACCTGAGTCACGGGGGAAGAGGAACAGAAAAGCCACATCATGTTGCTGAAAGTTTTTCTCTGATTAATCTCTGCTGTTCTAATAAACATCTCCTTACAAGCCTGGCTTCACAGTACTTCCTGGGCATTTTGTAACAGCTCTCCCTAGGATGAGGTATTGGGCAGCACCATCTGCTGGGAAGCAGCAGAAAGCCACCGGCTTGTGCCATTCCGGGAGTCCAGGCTGGCTTCCCGTGGGAAGAAGTGTTGGGTGACATCGAGAAAGGGTGACAATTTGCTCATCTGAATGGGAGGCACCGATAGATGTTCCCACCAATGACAATAATTCATAAAAACTTCCACGTTTCAACTGTCAGGATTGCTCTCAGTCAAGTGAAGACCATGGTTTGATTTTCAGCAAGTGTCAGCACTAATTTCCCTGACAGGGCTGACTCACCCAACAGCACCTGGAGGGCAACTGTTTGCAAGGCCCCACAAAGTAAGCTGAAGAAATTCGTCCCGACTTTCCCAGATAACTTACAGACCCCTTAGGTCCGTGCTTCTACCTTGTTTCACACCCCAGCACGTTAAAAAATGGGGAAAAAAAAAAGGTTTTTTTAGGCCAGGTAAATTCCTGAATCTGGTTCACAAAGCAGCTGAACAGACTGATATACTGGCACAATCAGAGGCTGGCGCAGGACAGGAAGGAGCAGTGGCAGCTTAAGTCAATATTGCCACTAAAAATACACTTGTACAACTCAGCATCCTTTGGAATCTTAGAAAAACAGATATCAAATATAAAAGCCAACCTAAGTTCATTTTGTAAGCTAAACAAGATGTTTCAGTTATACTATTCAAAAGAACATTATCACTACAAGGCAAACTGCAAATAAATGTTATTATTTCAGAGAAAAATAAGTACAGAAAATCTTGAATGTCCTGTTTGAGAACAGGATGACTTTAAAAGCTTCACCTAAGCTATCTCATTTTTGCATGTAATCAATTACCCTCAAATCCTTTCAACTAAGCTAATAAATAAGTGATGTCAGAGGTGCTGAAACACACCATCTGTCAGTTTTGCTCTACAATCCTGTTCTCTCCAATCCGTGTCTATTATGGAAGACTTAGCACAATGAACCTTAGCAGTGAGCAGTGAGTTCTGAGTCAGGGCAGATGGAACTGACCCTATATCTCTACAGGACTTGGATTTTCCTCTTGTGTGGGTCCATATGAAACTTCAGGGTTCTGTTAACTGAAAATTAAGAAATACAGAAAACCCACTGAAAAACAGGAAGCTTTATTTAGAATGATTTTTCCACTTTGTTCCAACTTTAGTTGACAATGATGCCAAGAGCAATAGCACATGATGGAATGACATGGGCAAGGGAAAGTTCAACACAGCTTCTGGTGCTAGCTGTGTTACTAGCTGGAGTGGGGAAAGCACCAGCTGAATACTACCATGTATTTTGTTCCTAGACCCAAAATATTGAGACTCTTTTCAGAACCCTACACAACTGGACAAAAAAACCCCCAGCTTTCTGAGATGTAAGCATTGTAGCTGAGAGGAACTCCATCTGCTCTGGAGTAAACTTGAAAGCACCTCAGCCCATCTCAAACAAAACACTGTTTTGTGATAAGAGAACAAGATTCAGCTGCACACTGAAATGAGAGTTTGGCACAGCCTTTCAGAATGCCACTAAAACAAGAAGTCAGACTTAAGAAATTATTTCCAAACCTACCTTTGAAAACCACCTCCCCCTCCCACCTCCCCAGCCCCTCCCTCCAGGTGTAACAGGCAGGGTGCAGCTCAAACCCAGAAGCCTGGACTCAGCCAGCAGCCTATAAGTCACTGTCCACACCTCTCCTGTCTCTCCTGATTTTAGGGTGCTCTGATCCAAACGGGCAAGGCTGAGACAGGAAATAAATACAGGCTGGAAGGAAACACGATCTAAGTCTCACAGCCAACACAAGCCAGTTTCCAGGGAGCATTTGGGAGCAGATGCTGTGAGAGCTGAGGCTGCTGCTCTAACACAAGCAGTGCCAGTGGAAGCATCAGCACTTCCACAGCTTACCGAGGCTGACTCCTCTTGTGCTTAAGCCCTTTTGCAGGAGGCTGTCAGAAGTCTGGTACACCACTAAGACTTTGTTAGATCCTTTTCTTCCTGCCTTCTGATCCTAATTTGAGCCCTTCTGACTGCAGGGAATGCGCTTCCTGTGCGACACCATCACGGAGTGCTGGGACCACGACCCCGAGGCTCGGCTCACCGCCCACTGCGTGGCTGAGCGCTTCAACCTGATGGCACAGATGGATTGTGATGACATCCTCAACAACAACATGGACAATGAGGCCAGCAAAACAGCTTCTCCAGGTGGGGAGCTCCAGGACAGTGATGGGAGCAGAAACATTCAGTGATGCAGCAGGCAAAAGTCCTCATCAAGAGGAACAAGAGGATAAGAGAGAAGCATTTAGCTCATGGAGGGAAAAAACCTCACTGTTTTTCAAAATGGAACCAAGATCTAGTACATAAATTATTTATAAGATCTGTTTCCTCACACAGATACAATGAACTGAGGCATCGATATTTTGGTTAAAGTGAAACACTATTATATGAACTGACTTTGTACTTACTTAAAATGTATAATGATGCAAAGCATTCCTTTTATTATTTTTAAAATAATAATGTTTAATCTTTTATTAATAAGCAGCTGAATTCCACGTCTATCTTTTTTAAGTCCTTCCATATTGCCATCATGAGTTTCTTTTCTAGCTTATTCTGCAGTGATTAAAACAATTTTCCTCTTTTTAAAGGCCTACACATAAACACACAAAATCTGTTGTAGCAGAAAAAGACATCATGAGATGTACCACACCCTCTGTGGAAGAAATGCTGACATCCAAGAAAATCACTCATGCAACTTGTCCAAAGATCCACAAGAATCCAGTTTGTAAAAGCCTGATACAACGCAACTCCAACATACCTTTCCTCACTGGGGAATTCCTGGGTTGATAGTTCAGGTGGGTGTGTGAAGCTTCTTTGAAAGCGAAAAAAGAAGTCACCAGTGTAGACATGGCTGCTTCACCCTAAAAATTTTCCATGCAGGATATCTAGACAACTCTTTCCCCCATCAGACCAGTTTCCAGCCACCTCTAGCCAGACCTGTGCCACAGTAACAGCATCAAGAATTGGCCAAGGGTGTTGGCCAGTTCTTCTGGAAACTCTCACACCTCCTGCTGGATTACCCCAGCTGGGGAAACACAATCAGACTGAACTGAGACCTTTATCCCTATGATCACCAGCTCAACCCAGGCTGCCCCTATTCTGGACAACAATTAAGGAAAGGTAAGTCACACCTCACTCTGAACCCTGGTACTGTGCAAATCCCTCCACCCCTTGGGAGCAAAGACCTCAGGTGCCCCTAGATCCTGCAAGCCCATACCTGACACCTAAACAGAGGGGTATTTTTGGGATAGCATCCAAGAGGAATGCATTTCTTGCCAGCACATAGCTGCATGGATCAGCCCAGAAAAAGGGAAAGGGAGCAAACCATGCAACAGCCACAAGTTTTCTCAGCTGGGGCTCCTCAATGTGGAGCAAGGACACAGATCTGCAGGGTTGGTTTGGTTCTCTTAAGTGCTCAGCTATGACAGCACTAACTCAAATAAAAACCTTTGCTTGTCTAGCTGTTGTTTCCATCTCCCTGGACTGTTTTTAAAGCGCAAAATTAAAAGCCTAGAAACAAATTGTCTCTAAACACTTCAAAGAAGGACAGAAGGGGAATGAATTAGGTTGCATCAAATATAAATAATAAAAATTTTGCTTAGCTACCACTTAAGCCATCTGCAATGGCAACCACACCTGCCATTCTCACTAATCTTCACCTGGCTGCTACCTCCTGACACCTTACAATTTTTCAAGTTAAGCCTTTTATCTTGAAGCACATCCTCCCCAGTTCTCCACAAATACATCTTTTCATCCCACCTGACTTCAGCCTCTTTAATATATTAACCACTAGCACAACAGAAACAGAGCAGGGGGCAGCTTTTCTGTCATGGGAGATAAAAAACTACAGTAACACACTAAACTCCCCCCCAGACTGCCCAATCTTGGCTTCCTATAGTATTTTGTGCAGAATTTCCATACCAAGTTCTGCATCAAGTTGTTTGAACACACTGATGAATGTGTTCACTCGTTCTCCCATGCTCAAAAGGATTTAAAAGACACTGTGACCTCTTCTTCCCACAGGTGACAGGGACACAGGGGGATCAGCCTGTGCAAACTAGACATTGAAGGCTGCATCTCTGATTCTGATGGCTGAAATCCAAATTCTCCTGGGGAGATAGACTTCATCCTAGGCTTGACAGTTCATACTATAAATACGCTGAAAAACTCTATCTTTTCCCCTACCCAAAATCTTGAATAACCCAGTTTGGATAGTGCACAGAAATCTATCAGCATTACACACCTGAATGCCTGTGTTAAACAGGGCTGACTTGTTCCCTGTTTTCTATGAGGAGCAGCAGGCTGCACAGCAACTCTAAAGACAGCCACTTATTTAAGATGCACGATCTGTTTATGATTCAGGGAGCCTAAAACCACTGAGATCAATGAAAATTCTGCTCTTAACTTCATTGGAGCCAAATCAAGCCAAGAAGACAGACGGTAACATAAGCCAATGTCCTATTTTGCCATGTTCCCTGTTGGAACACACTGTGGTTTTAGCAAGTATCTACACAGGAAGCAGCACTGAGCCCTTCCCTTCACTCCAGAAGGTACAGGATGGAAACAACTCCAGCTACACAAGAGAATCAAATCTGGTCAGAGTTAAAAATACATCCATTACTCTGCAGGGTGCTTGCCATTCTCAGAAGAATCAAAATTACAATTTAAGCTGGATATTCAGTGGCTAGATTTTTTCTTTTTAAATGGTTTTCAACTATGTCCTTTGTTTCTAGAAGTAGAAATTTGCATCATAACTAAAGCCATACCAGGAATCATTCCAGTTCTCATGATCAGTTGAGTAAAGGAAGGCTTTACCTTCTTTTTTTCCTAGAAACATCCCCATGTTAAAGAAATCACTTCAAGTACTTTAAGTATTTCTTCACCATTAGGTCTACTTTTACACAACAAAATTAGTAACAACTTTCATAGTGTGAAACCACAAGTATACCAGATGAGGAAGGAAGATAACTAACTTGACTAATAGTATTATACAAGGAACACACATGGGTTTATGGTCAATATGGGCACTTCTCAGTCTCATTTACAACCATCACCTTGACAAATCCCAAATCAAAATTTTAAGAGACTGAGTTGTAAGTCTGTATTTTAGTGAGGTTAAGTTTGATCCCTGGAGTGTGCTCAGCTGGAAAAGGTTTGGTTTTCCTCTGATCACTGCATTATTCAAAGCTGGGCCTTGCACCACAGCTCTTGCTGTTTGTTTAAAGCAAAAGTGCCATGTGACTTGGATAAAACAACTATGAAACATATACAGTGCTAATCTGTTTCTCTACCAGCCCCATTTTGGTGCAGATACTGATGAACCATGGAAGAATTTCACACATTGATTCCCACCCCAAATCCTGCAATTTCCCACCCCAAATCCTGGAATTGGCCAAGGAGCCAAATGTGCCGCAGACCCAGAAACAAGAAGGAACTAATCCCACTGTCTTAATTTTTATTTTTATTCCAGGTTAAGCATGAAAATGCCCAACGGATATCCAAAACTATCACAACAGGATGGCTGTATAGAATATCACAAACAAGACAAGTAGGGCCTAAAACATTCTACTGCTGGAGAATAGTTACCACTCAAGCACATAGTGCCAAAATATCGCACTTTTGGGACAAAGGAAAGCCCAGACAGATTTCCAGCATGAAAGAAAACAACCACCTACTGTTTCCTGATCACCTGATCTCTAGGAAAGCAGACAGAACAAATGAATCATTTTGTAGCTTTATTAACCCCCCCCCCCCACTTCTCACAAATGGACTATGACTTGCATTGAGATCTCAGTGCATTTCACAGCAAAAAAAAAAAAAAAAAAGTACAAGAGGATCAAAACAGCTGTGCACAAACCCAACTCTTTTTTTTTTTTATGATTTTCAATTTGTGTTGAAAGTTAACATGATTATTTAAACCTTCTGATGCATTCTTACAATTGCATCTTCTCTATGGAAAACATTTTACCAGATCACACAGTTGTGAGTTTTTATGATGCTGGATTAGGTGCAGCCATTGCCATGGCTGGGAAGTGGCAGATAATGTTATATACACTGACTGGAAGACTACATCAGAAGAAAAAACAGATTAAGGCACCACTGTTGGAAAAATTAAGGTAGCTTGTAGTTACAACAATAACGAAAGCCATAGTAAGTACTATTCTTAATTGCCAGCAATTCTTAGACTTCAATAAAATAGTTATAAAAAGGAGAAAGAAAAAAGGATGTTTGTACCTGAATACAGTTTCCTGATATCTGATTGCATTTCAAATCAATACTCAGTCCTCAGCATAATCAGATGTTTGTTTGGTTTTTTTTATGGTAAGATGAAAAACCAGGACCTACAGTCCATGTATTCAAGGTCACATTTCACTGCTTTGTTCTGAACACCACTACAGGAGAAAAAATAAAACAACCCAAAAGATAGCTTGTAACACTGATACTTAATCTCTGAAACTATGAGATGGGCAGAAAAATTTAAATACAAAACTGTATGTTTTCGGTTCATTTTGAAAGCCTTAGTCCTCAGGAAGAGAAGTTGGAGGAGAAAAGACAGGCCAGATCTCATTATAACTTGAGAAAAACCAGTCACTCAAGGACTTAATAAAATTAGAGTTGAAAAGTGTTCAAATTACTTTTCCAATTCAAGTCAACTATTTCAAGTATATTAAAACATTTCAGAGGAAAAATTTCTCCATGGTTACACTTCTAATTGCTTTTATAAATCCATAAAAAAGAAAAGTAGTCTCTACGTACATCCCATATTCCTCCAATGCATGCACATGTTCTCTCCGAAGAAAAGGTCGTCACGATCCAGTTGTTTCTTAATACTGATTTCAGGCACATCTTCCAAACACCCTTCCAGTTTTTGCCAAGAAGGTTAATTACTGGGCATAAAAGCAACAATTTTCTGTTTCTGTTGTCTACATGTGTACTGAGGAGGTTTCAGTGATTAAAGAGCTTGACACAGATTCCAAAAGAGTTCCTATGTCACTCTAAAATCCAACAGGCTCCTTCTTCTCTGAGGCAGCTTTTGCAACCAGATCTACTTGGAAGAATCTTACACAATGCAGATAAAATCTCTTGGATCATACAAAAAAACAAGTTGGTTGAATGTACCTGGCAGGTTTGTCTCTACAACTTGGATTTTTACGTTTTTTTTCCTTAAATAGCTTTAAAGTGCCCTAATATAGTTATTTCTTTATGCTCATTTAGACTTGCACAATTACATAAAAAGGGGACACTCAGTGTGATTACTGTGTTCTGAGAGACAGAGAAAAAGGAGAGGAAAACCAGAAAACTCATCTTAAAGCAGCTTTTTTCTAGTTATTGTCTGCTTGTTGAGTTTGTGCGGCAGAGACTGTTTTCCAGAGGGGTTTGTGGTAAACCCAGCCATCTCCCTGCAATTTAAAGAGAAAGTACGGTTATCATAAAGACACTGCCTTGGGAGAACTGCCTTCACACAACTAGTAGACTGATGG